AATCAAATTTAATACACAATAAAGTTGTTGTGAATAGATAAATATAAAACATGTTCGTATTTATATCTAAATATCATACCTTACGGTCAGACGGTATTTGAAATATCGCTTATTGGTGTTTTTAATAAAATATTCTTCATGAACGATAATTTATTTTTGAATCTCTTTTTATAGTTTCAAAACAGATTTCATATATAATATTACTAATTCTAACATTATTTTTTTAGTTGTAAAGGATAAACACCAAACTTGACAATAGTTTTGTTTTATTAAAAGATGAAATAATAAAAGTTTATTTAAATTTAACTATAAATTTATTAGAAATCAAACATTTGTAAATTCGAGTTTGTTTTTTGAATAAACTCGAATAGATTTTTATATTTAAACAAATTATAAATTTTAAAATATTTATTGAAAATCGAACAGTTAAAAATAACCTACGTTTTTTTTAAAACATCATAGACTATTTTTAGTTAATTCAATAAATTGTAAAATACTTAATTTAAGTCTGAAAAACAAAGAAAATAAACTAATTAAGAATAAAACAGTACAAACTATAACTAGTTTTAAGTATAACAAATGTGTAACTTCTTAAATATTTACATTAATTAATAATATTTTAAGTTGAATTTAAATTTTATTTAAAATATTAAAATAAAACTATTTGAAAGTGATATCAAGAATATTTTTAAACTGAAAATCAATTTATTGTTAGATTTCATAATTTATGAAATGATTAAAATTTTTGAAAATTATAAAATATCAAATCAAAGATAATTATTTGTTTTGACTTGATCTTAAAATAAAAATAGTTGTATGGATTTCATTTGATTAAAATTTTCTTAACATTCTGTGTTGATTTTCTGATTATAAATTTTGGTAAAATCTTTACCAATTAGATTTACAAACCAGATAATAATACGATCAGCAAGATCACAGACATACCAATAGTAAAGTCTCTTAAATAAAAGAATGATAACAACTAGAAGATAAAAACAATTTAAATAAACTTCCTGCTACGTCATTACTAGTTTTAGTATAGATATATAAAATTTTAATAAAATAAATTGAATTTTCTTTATAAAGATTTTATGAAGTTATCATTAAAACCATATTCATTCTATTAAATTATTTTTTTTAAAAAAAACTTATAATAAAGTAATTGTAAATTAAAAAAAAGTTTTTGAATAAGCTATTTTATAATGTGATATTATACACGAAAGTTAAAATGTGGAGTTTTCTAACTAAATATTATATTTTTACATGATTTTTATGATATAAAAGATATACATAATAAAATATCAAAATTGAATAAGAAATAGTCAAGTGAATTTTTTAAAATAAAAAGGATGTTTAAAGATTAATAAAAATTAATATTTTAAAAGATTTTTTAAAAAGTATAAAACACAACAAATAATTTTAAATTAATAAATAAAATTAGTAGAGAAATTTGACAATCAACATAATAAAAAAAGCAATAAGAGTCTGTTAATCAATTTTAATAGAAGTTTCTATGAAAAGTCAATACTTATTAGCAATGATTTAATTATAATACATTACTGATTATGTTTTTTTATTACATTATCAAAAAAGTAGTTTAAAAAGTTTAAAAAAGAAAAAATTTAAAGTTTCTTAAAATTCTTTGAAGTGTTTAAGAAAATATAATCTGATGAATTATATTCATTCACTAATAATTAAAAAAATATTGAGAAATAAGATTTTTTTATAAATAACAATTAATGCTATTAATAATTTAAAAAAATTATTCAAATGTTGCAAATTATAAATTTTATTTAAAGTATTTAAAAGAAGAAATTGATTTCTATAAGTTGAAAAAATCACATTGTTAAAAATATGATTTTAAATAGTTGATTTTTATCATATAAATTCGGTTTTAAATAATAAAATTATTTTTATCTTAAAGGTATATTTTGAAAATAGAGATAAAAGGTTAAAAATTAAATAAATTTGTTGACTTAAATTTTTTTCCGTATTAATGTTACGTTAAAATTAGAATAACTTTATATTTTATATCTTTATTTTTTATTTTTTTTGTAAAATTTTTAATTAATTTTAAAGTATATTAATATATTTGAATCATAACTATTTTTTTCTAATACATAAAGCTTGTTGTTACTTATATATTGTTAAAAAATTTTAAAGTACAAAAATAAATGAGCCTTTTTTTCAAACTTTTTTTTATTAAAATAATTTTTTATTATATCGTTAATGGTAAAACATATTATTTAGAAAGAGAAAATAAAGATAATTAAATTAAAAGAAACTGGAATTAAGAATTTTAAAATTATAAAGAAATTTAATATATTGAAACAACTTTTCTTAGAATAATAAAAAGAAAAATTAATAAATAATATTAAAAGAAAGAAAATAATTATTCAAAAATCTTTAATAAATCGTAAATAAATATTTTTAAAAGTAAAGTAAAAAAAATTAAAAAATTTGCTAAAGAGCTTTATGTAATATCAAAAAATCTACATCAAAAACATATATAAATTTATTATATTAAATGATTTAGTTGCTTTTTTACTATTAAAAACCTCTTTAAAGCTTAAAAATATAAAATCAAATTTATG